GTCTTTGGAAGTGTGTGCTGTTTTGTTTGGGAAACTAATGGATTTGTTTGGTTGAGTGGGAATGGTTTTGTTTGATAGTTGATGTATTGTTTTCCAGAGTATATGGCTATTGTGTTTGTTGTCCCAATGTTGCTCCAAGTGTTCTCTCCAGATGTTTGTTTTATGGTCTTGTATGGCTCTATCAATTTCTCTGTTTAACTGCTGTAGCTGCGGGTCTGTGTGATTTGCAGTTCTGATTTGATTTATTTGAGTTATGGGAGCTCTAATGTCGTCTGGAAGAGGTGGTTCTTCATCTTTTACTTCAGCTCCCACCATGACCGCAGAGGCGAGTGGCATGCCAAGTGACCATTCGTCAGAAGATGACCCCTCCCCCACGACCACCGATGCTTTCCCTTGCTCACAGATTGAACATATTAGGATGGGATACTTCCGAGACCAAACGGTTTGCGCCGTGGTGGACCCCACTTCTCAAGTCCTCTCTATGACTCAAGCCTCTGAGGCCAACGAGGTAGAAGAGGGTGAGGAGGTGGTGATGGAATCGCCAGACCCTATATATGGACCAGAGAACGGCATTGCCGTTGATGAAGCCTGCATCATCGTGGAAGATCATGATACAGAGTTTGAGCTGGTAGAGGAGGGTGAGAAGGATAAATCAGAGGGCGCCGTTGGCGTTCAAGAGGCCCCCCTCCTGAATGCCTCCCACGTTCAGGAGGCCCCCCTCGAAGTCTTGCAACCTTCAAAATGCTTCATCGCAGCGTCGGAGTCAGATGAGATTTGCCTGTGGGAGTCACAAGTCACAAGAGATTTGCCTGTAAAAGAGACTCGAAAATGCGAGAAAAGATTTGCAGACGGTCAGTCCCATGATAATCAAGCCAGAACTAATCAAATCATTGTAGATGGTGTCAATGTTTTCAAGAATGTGTCTGCTTGGGATAAAAAATCCGGAAAATCGGATCCTCCCCCTTGCCGCTAGGATCCATTTCTCTTGGAAACCGACGAAGACGACCTGGCAGAACTTCTACCAGACCCATCATCATTGGTGTACGCAATGGAGCGTTACATCCTAAAGATCCTTGTTCGCGCGACCATCACTTCAGCTGTGAAGAAAAGTGTGAAGTGAGTATTCCAAATTTTTACGCATGAAATAAAAATACTTGACTGTGTGCTTGCAAAGTCCGTACACTTTTCCTGGGTTCCCAGAAAGGCACGGGATTTGTACTCGTTCTTTGATTTTTGTTGTAAATTTCTCTCATCGAAGTTTATGACACGTCTTCTTTTACTTCCTTGCAGCAACAAGGAAAAGAAGACATCCGGTAATTCTTGCCACGATGACGATGACAGCACTGAAGATGAGGGTGAAGAAGGCAGTCGTGACAACAATGAAAGCAGCACAACGTACGTGCTTTCTCTATAATGAATTATAATAACGCTAAATCTTGCTCATTTTCTCCCTACAGCAGTTACGAGCTAAAAGCCTGCAACAGATGGGTAAATAGACTATTAGGCAATTGAATATAATTTTCGCGAAGTAGCGTTCCCAGTTCATCACGAACTGGTACAAATGGGGCATTACGTTCGTCCCAGTCTTGGACCGGTTTGATTTCAGGGGGAAAAAACTGACCATATGGTGCGCCAAATTTCTAGGTAGCGTTGTCCCGGTTCAGTTTAACTGGTAAATTTTCAACTATATGGGCCTTCCCGGTTGTCTCGCTCTGAACCGGGACTTGCCCAGTTTGTCTTAAATTATTGCAAAGTACTGAGACCTCGTCTAATCGCTTTTTTTCACTTACACAGGCGAGGCCCAAAGGCATACTCGCGCACTCGTGGAAGAAAGGTGGAAGGCAGGACCCAGTGGGCGTGCTTTGTCCCAGCTTGCCAGGGCCTGGTTGGGCCGAACCATATGCGCCGGCACTATCAAGATGCCCATATGCCCATGGATTCGGAGAAGAAGCATCAATCAATATGAATGGATTTCATCGAAGACTAGACAACCTGAAGAAACGTTAGGAATGTGATCCCGTCTTGAGCCCCAGCGAGCTTCGGCTACATGTTGAAAATATATTGAAAAACAACAAAGGAAGCCTACCCAAGACATTGCCTGCATGCGTGTCAAGGGAAATGAGAGATCGGGCAACGCCAGTCTGTTTACTTGTTCATCTTATGGATGGAATGGGAGCCAATGATGATGTTGCCAATCACATTTTTTGCATTAAGAGATCAACCAGTGCCGTCAACTAGCACGACCGCCGCCACATGAGGAGAGGAGATTAATGAAGGAGACCTTAGGCAAGAACGCCCCGTGCAGAACCCTGGAGGTCTCAACGTGAAGTACTTGGCAAAGGGAGAGTATGATAATAAGCGGCTCGTGACAGCTTGTCCTGAGTGTTTCAAAGGATATCACCCCCGAAAGCTGCAGCAACACATTATAAGGAAGCACCAGAAATCAAACTCCGATGCCTTAGCCATGAAAAACACCGCCCTTCCTTATACGAGACTTGTTTCACTCCAGACAGTTCCAGGAAAAGGGCAATCCCTCCACAGCAAACTTCCACAAGATATAGTAAACGAAATCAAGGATGAATTCCTTGCTGGAAGAACGAGAGCGGGTCGAGTCATGTCGAGTCATGCCACGATGCAAGGAGTTTCTGCTGCGGTGCGCGACGCAACTTCTTCAGAGATTAGCATCAGCTTCGGAACAACATCATTAGCTTCGGAACACAGTGTGCAAAGTTCTTCAACGATGCAAGAAGCTTCTGCTGCGGTGAGCGACGCGGCTTCCTCAGAGATTAGCATCCATCAGCGTTGATGCCTCCCGCGATGAGGATCAGGAAGCCCCTTATCTTCCTCGGACACAATCATTTCACAATTCATATGTCATCCACTGTATGAATCCTGCTCTTCCGTGTTCTGTAGCAGACTTAGAAATGGCAAAAGATTTGATGAAAAAGAACGTTCATGTTATTAGAGGCGATGAATAAACATAAAATACATTTCGAACAAGGGGATAATCCATTTACCTGTAAAAACATCAGTCTTTATTGCCGTGATCTTGTACAGCACTTTTAGAATAAACAAAAAAACCGCAGACATTATGAACTACCTTGTACGTCAAAACCACCATTTTAGACTTAAGAAAGTATCACCGAAGGTACAGCAGTACCACAACACTTTACAGTAGATTTGCGGACTATGTTTGGATAGCATGCTGGAAGAATGAATGCACATCATTAATCTTGTTTGCTTGGATATAGTCAGTGGTGGGCACAGCTAACCTAAAAGTTAGCTTCGATAACCGCTAATCCGCTAACTGAAAAGTTAGCTTCGATAACACTAAACCGATAAATCACCAAAAAATATAGCGGAATTTGCCGCTAACCCCTAACTTTTAATATATAAATTTAGATTTAGCTTAATTTGGGGGGGGGAACTCTGAAAAACAGGCCTAGAGAGCTGAACTTTCAGCCTTGTAAAGGAGCTTTCCAAAAAGATGTAGCATGCCAAGATCAGATGATGATCAAGATGTACGTAACATAAATAAATAAATGAACAAATGAAATTAGGCAGTAGATGACATTTAACATACAGTTTATTAAGCGAATAAGAAATATTAAGGTTACACCAGGGTTACACACTCCTTTTACTCTGGCTTGCCCTTCGCCTTCATCTCCTGGAGGTGATGATTGTTGCCCTTCATGAACATCAGCCTCTCAAAGTTGGCATCTGACAGGGTGGCTCTCTTGGCACTCAAGATGTCCTTGCCTATGGAAAACAGGCGCTCAACTGCAGCACTGGATAGGATGGCTGTATTTACTTAACGAAAAGGTTCATTAATACCTGCTCGCTCAAGAAGGCAAAGTCAGTCATTCCTCCTTCGAGCTGCTTTCCAGTCAGGTCTTCACCAAATTCTGTGCCTTGGACTTCAGTGACCCGTGGCTCCTCCTGGACTCCATGGGCTGAGTAATGCTGCTGAAGAAGTCATCTTCCCCATCCTCGTCATTGCTGGTGGTGCTGCTGCCCTCCTCAACAGTCTTCCTCAGGGCTGTCTCCACGGCGGTCTCCATGGCCTTCTGTACCCTGCTGAGATGGCTGTGATTATGCTTTTCCAGCCAGAACAGGTGAAACTTAGGGTGGAAGGCCGCTGCCAGCTGGCACTCCTTGTCTTCTAGGAGGGGCCCAAACCTTTTCGTGATGCCTGCCAGCATTGCGTCCACCAGAGGACTGCAGTATAGGACGTCTTGTGTTACTGCCAGTAACACAAGACGTGATTGGCTGACGAACATATGATGACGTAGTCAGCCGTCAGTGTGGGCGTGACACACGGCTCACGATCTTAGCTTAAATCGGAGATTTTTAAGCATTTATAGCGGACTGCCAGTTAGCGGAACTAAATTTAGTGGAAGCTAATTGGTCCGCTAAAGGTTTTCAAAGTTAGCTGAACAGCTAATCCGATAAGCAAAAACAAAGTTAGCTTCACTAATTAGCGGTTAGCGGATTAGCGGAACTGTGCCCACGACTGGATATAGTACATGATTGGATATAGTACATTGTTCTTATTTCATGTTCTCGCCAATCTTTTGGATGGCACTATTTCAATACTGGCTTTAGAGTGACAATCGAGCGAGCTTATGTTCTTCTTATGTTCATTGTTCAGTGGAATTTCTTTTAAATAAAAACACGCTCGACGCGTTTCTTTCATTAACCAAGACATTATATCAAGATAGAGTGGAAGGAAAGCGACTGTGCCTAAAAATGTTTTAGAAATATGCGTAGGCTTCAATAATGCTTCCTCAGTGTATGCGCTGAGTTGTAAGTCCTTCATCTTTCGTATTTAGTTTAGCATTTTAGTTTGACCTGTGGTGTAACACCAGTAGGCTTGATCGATCTCAAGAAAAAAGTAGCGTTCCCAGTTCATCGCGAAGTGGTTAAAATGAGGCACAAAGTTCGTCCCAGTCTTGGACCGGTTCGAATTCAGGGGGATAAAAATGACCGTATGGTGCGTTAAATTTGTAGCTGACTTTGTCCCGGTTCAGTAGAAATGGTAACTTTTTACCTATATTGGTCGTCCCGGTTGTCTCGCTTTTTAACCGGGACTTGCCCAGTTTCTGGAAAATTACCCCAAACTACTGTGACAACCGGGCTCGTCCCGGTTCAGAGCGAGACAACCGGGACGACCCATATAGTTGTAAATTGACCAACTAGACCGATCCGGGACAAAGCCAGCTAGAAATTTGGCGCACCATATGGTCAGTTTTCTCCCCCTTGATTCGAACCGAGCGAAGACTGGGACGAACATTTGTACCAGTTCGCGACGAACTGGGAACGATAAGTCCTGAATGTGGGAAAACAATCCACAACTTTATTTCTTAATATTCTACGGAGGTGCCTATCTACTCGTCAAAACAATACTTTTGATAACAAAACGAGCGAGCTACGACACTGTTGTAGAATAAGACGACTTGGTAATCCAAGCTTTATTCAAACAGTTACCTGAAATTAGAATAACCGACATGAAACACTGATGATTAACACACAACGAAATATAACGAACAATAGAAGCAATATTACAGCGAAATCAAAGTTAGCTATATACATGGCGGAGAACTTACATTACATCACGGAAGTAGTTAAGACCGTACAGTTCGACAGAAACGTGGACACTGGCACGGTGCGAGACGCCAGGAAGCTAACGTCTGGTCTTCATCTTAAGATGAACAAAACTCGCATATAATACATCCTTTATTACCACAGACACTTTTTACGATTTTTCCATTTTTAGGTGAAAATGACCTGTATCTCTGCGAAAATCCGTCAGACTGATTCCCAAACGTAATATGTTGTGGTCGTGATGAGCGCGGTCATTTTGGTACCAAAACCAGCGAGCTACGACAATTTTTCGCATCCAGAATAAGATTTTGCCGAAAGGTTTGGGGCTACGAACTTCATAGCCAAAATGAATTTAACTCATTTTTTGACGAAATTTCTGGCATCAAAATAATTTTTACACAAAATGTACAGAAATTCATTCAGAAGGTACAAATGAATAAATCCAGATGTTTTTGGGACCTTGGAATCGCAAAGATGTTGGGAAGGATCCAGATGTTGGGAATCGGCAGGTGCATTTTAGTTTGACCTTGGGTGTAACACCAGTAGGCATTGTTTAATCAAGCTCAAAATTCCTCGTGTTGTTGAGGACGAAATGGCAATAATGTTACATTTGAAACCAGAGTTAGGTTATGGGTTAGTTTCTTCGAAAATGGACTATTATTAATGTCAGGACCTAGCATTCCCGGTTCGTCGCGAACTCGTACACTAAGTTCGTCCCAGTCTTGGACCGGATCGATTCCATAGGGATAAAAATGACTGCATGCTGCTTTAAATTAATAGCTGACTTGGTCCCGGTTCAGTAGAACTGGTAAATTTGCAACTATATCAGAGGTCCCGGTCGTCTCGCTTTTAACCGGGACTTGCCCTGTTTATCTGAAATTACTGCAAACCACCGAGACACATGGGGGATGTCCCGGTTCACAGCGAGACAACCGGGACGTCAGCAATAGTTGAAAATTTACCAGTTCTACCGAACCGGGACCAAGCCGGCTATAAATTTAACGCACCATGCTGTCATTTTTCTCCCCATGGAATTGAACCTGTCCAAGACTGGGACGAGCTTAGTGCCTCATTTGTACGAGTTCGCGACGAACAGGGAACGCTAGGTCCTGAATGTGGGAAAGCAATGCATAACTTTATTTCCTAATATTCTACTGACGTGCCTTCCTAATATGTTATAGGTTAGGTTATAAGGGCCATTTTGGTACCATCGTGGTTGATATGAAAACGAAATTTCAGGACGACACATTGCTTGAGATCTTATCATTTATTGAAAATAACTTTGAGGACGCATAACACGGCGAAAATTTGTTCTCCCAACTTGAAATTTTAATATGTTATTGTTGGCGTTACTGCGGTTATTTTGATGTGAAAGCGAGCGAGCTGCAAAGCTTTTAACGAATTTTCCATTTTTAGGTGAAAATTAGCTGGATCTCTGCGAAAATCCGTCAGACTGATTCCCAAACATAATATGTTGTGGTCGTGATGAGCGCGGTCATTTTGGTACCAAAAACAGCGAGCTACGACAATTTTTCGCATCCAGAATAAGATTTTGTGAAAGGTTTGGGGCTACGAACTTCATATATGAATTTAACTCATTTTTCGACGAAATTTCTAGCATCAAAATAATTTTTACACAAAATGTACAGAAATTCATTCAGAATGTACAAATTAATAAATCCAGATGTTTTTGGGGCCTTCTCTTATGCCATTTCATGGCAGTTATGACTAAATACTTATGATCATTATAGAAGTTGAAAATAGATTGTTACTCAGCCAATATTAATGCGA